TGGCATTTAATATATCACGCCACTTCCTTCTGGCCTGTAATGTTTCTGCTGAGAAGTCTGTTGTTGGTCTGATGGGCTCTCCTTTGTATGTGATCTTATTTCTGCCTCTGGCTGCTTTTAACAGTCTGTCCTTATCCTTGATCTTTCTGGTTTTAATTACTATGTGTCTTGGTGTTGTCTTCCTTGGGTCCCTTGTGTAGGGGGATCTGTGGATCTCCATATCCTGAGAGACTATCTCCTTTCCCAGATTGGGGAAGTTTTCAGCAACTACCTCCTGAAAGACACTTTCTATCCCTTTTTCTCTCTCTTCTTCTTCTGGTATCCCTATAATGCGCATATTGTTCCGTTTGGATTGGTCACACAGTTCTGTCAATATTCTTTCATTTTTAGAGATCCTTTTTTCTCTCTGTGCCTCAGCTTCTTTGTATTCCTCTTCTCTAGTTTCTATTTCATTAATTGTCTCCTCTGCTGTATCCAACCTGCTTTTAATACCCTCCATCGTGTTCTTTAATGATTGGATCTCTGACCTGAATTCATTCCTGAGTTCTTGGATGTCTTTCCATACCTCCATTAGAATGTTGATGATTTTTATTTTGAACTCCCTTTCAGGAAGAGTCACGAGGGCCATATCATTTTAATCTTTCTCGGGAGTTGTATTAACAATTTTACTCTGGTCAAGGTTCCTTTGGCATTTCATGTTTCTATATGGTGCCCTCTAGTGTCCAGAAGCTCTATTCTGGAGCTGCTGAGCCCCTGAAGCAATGTCAGGCATTGCAGGGGAGTGGTACCGGGGGTAGGAAAGAACTGTTCCCCGCTTTCCGGCTGCTGTGCCCGTCTCCACTGCCTGAGCCAGTGGGCCACGCACACAGGTATAAGTTTTTGTCCCAGAGAAGTGAGATTTGGATCCCTGCTTTCCACAAGCAGCCCGCATCCCAGTCTCCCCAGGAACTCTGCCTGTATTAACTTTCCAACCCGGTAGTCATGCGAGTCTCATGGAAGCACCATGAAATGTAGGTTTGTGCTCCCAGAGCAGATCTCTGGAGTTAGGTATTCAGCAGTTCCAAGCCTTCCACTCCCTCCCTGCTCCGTTTCTCTTCCTCCCGCCGGTGAGGTGGGGTGGGAGAGAGGCTCGTGTCCCGTGGAGCCACAGCTCTGGTACGTTACCCCGTTCGCTGAGGTCTGCTCTTTTCTCCAGGTGTGTGCAATCTGACACGTCCTCTTTCCTGTTGCTCTCTCAGGATTAGTTGCGCCAATTAAATTTTCTAATTGTATCCAGTTTTAGGAGGAAGCCTCTGTCTCTCCTCTCACACTGCCATCTTTAATCCACTCAGTATTGGTGTTTTCTTACTGAGGTTCTTTTTGCTGGCTTTCTTGCTTCCAGGACCTTGTTTCCTATTTCCTTCCCCAGATTAGTGAAATTTTCAGGAATTATTTCTTCAGAGACTTTCTACCCCTTTGTGTCTCTCTTGTCCTTCTGGTACCCCTATTACACAAATATGGTTTCATTTGGAGTTCTCACACAGTCCTCTTAGCATCCTCCTTTTTCTAGAAATTTTTTTCTTTCTGTTGCTAAGCATCATTGTTTTCCTTTTCTCTAATTTCCATCTCACTGATTGTCTCCTCTACTTGCAGCAGCCTATTATTCATTCCCTCCACTGTATATTTTATTTCAGCTAGTGTATTCTTCAGTTCTGAGTGTCTCTTTTTCAGCTCTTGTATCTCTTTCTCTTGTATTCTCCCTGAGATCACCAGCACTTTTCTGCAGATCAGTGAGCATATTTATAACTGTTACTTTGAAATATTTATCAAGAATATTGGTGACCTCCATTTCATTTAGCCCTCTTTCTGACATCTTCTCCTTTAATGTTGTTTGGAACATATTCATCTACCTTCTCATTTTATCAGGGTTTCTGTGTTTCTTTGTTGGTGTTAGACAGATCCACTTTACTTCCTTGTCTAGAGAGTAATGGTTGTATATAGAAGGCATCCTGGAGTGCCCAGAAGCTCAAGAATCTTTACTCACCACTGTCTGATTCTCCTTTGTGCTGGAGTTCTAGTTGTTGGTGGTGGGAAATGAGTCCTTTATGTTTGTCTGCCAGCAGTGGCCTATCTCAGCCTGCCTCAGGTGGCAGCTCGCTCCAGCCAGCCCTTTGTGAACCAAGGAGGGGCACTTCTGCTGTGATCATTGTGGTGGGTCTGCCTCCTGCCTGCCCTGCAGCAATGGCTGCAATGCTGGGCTAACCTGGTCATTGGTTCTGGGGTGCACGGGGGCTGGGCTGCTTGTGGAGGAAGGAGTGTTCAGAGGTGCTCCTGCAGGCGCCCTCCCAGTGTGACTAAGAATGGGCCAAGAAAGCTGGGAAAGCCTTCTTCTGCTTGCCAGGCAGCAACATCTCCCTGTCACAGAAGGGAGAAAAATCTGGTGCTACTGTGCTGAACAGGCTGGGTGGGTGTGCAGGGAAGTTGCTCAGGACTGAGCTAATAGCAAGGGGATGGAGAGTTTGGGGCTACCAAGGGTACCTGGACAGCTGGGCTGAGGGAGGGGTGGGGTAGCATCATCTACCTGCTCTTTCTCCTGTGAAGAGAGCTCCGTCCAACACTTGCCCCTCTGTTACCCTTCCTACTGTTAGTAAATATTTCAAACTGCTCCCTCTGTGTTGGGTCTCAGCAGGACCAGGGGAGCATACCTGCCCCCCAAAAGAGGAGAGGCTGGAGTCTCAGGCTCCCAGAATGCTCCAGCTCTCCCTGGTGTGCTTCTCTGTTAATCACCAAAGCCTGATGCAATGTGGACTTGTGTTGCCAGAGCAGATCTCTAGGGCCCAGTATGCACAGTTCCTGAGCACTTACTCCCTCTCCACTCCATTTGTCTTCCTTGCTTTTGTGGGCTGGAATGGGAGGAGGGCTGGGGTCCCACTCAGTCATGGCTTTGCCACTCGGCTGTTCTTTGTTTGGCCTTCTCTTCTTCACCAGGTCTAAGTGGTCTGTTCTGCAGTCTTCAGGTCATTTTCAGAGTTAGTTGTATTTGCTGTAGCTGCTTCCTTAGTGTGTGTGGGAGAGGAGGTTTCTACCTGCCTTCCTACTCCACCATCTTTTTCCCCCTCCAGCCAGGAGAATTTCCTTTAAATGGTATTGTTGAAGTTTACAACCCCTCCCCTGAGAATTCTTGGGGGACAGCTTAATCCTGTTGACAGGTGTAGGATGAACAAGTCTCTAGCTATAGTGATTAATGAGAGACCACCTTTAGGAATGCTGGGTTTGGGCATTAATGCTAAAACACCATGAAGAGATGATGCTAACACCATCTCCACCTTTTTTGTTAATGACCTTAAGACTGAAATATCAGCTGTTGTTCAGGAGCAGAAAATAGGCTGGAAGACCTTGGCATCCCTGAGGTATTTTGGAGATAGTCTGATAAACAAAGAGAAAACTTCACAGATAAATTGATGGTACTACAACTTAAACAAATGGAGGACAGCAAAAGCCCCTCGACAAACACAAAGACAATGACACTTGCATATATTGGGGGGAAAATCACTGGGCCTGAATTGTACTGCTTGGGCAGGAGCCAGGCAGCCAAATAAGCTGCTCAACCAGAAACAAATGATTCCCTTCCAAGGAAGGCCCCTTTCAATGTCCCCATGTGTCTTTCATTCAGCAAAGATAAATAATCCTATTAGTAAATGATCATTGTAGTAGAGGTGTCCGGAGAAACAGAAATCATGTGTTGTGTGCATATGTGCTTTTTTTCTCCCAAGAAATTGGCTAACGTGATTGTGGAGCCTGGTGACTAGTCTGGAAGGATAGAGACCCAAAGAAGAGTTGATCTTGTAGGTTGAGTCTGAAGGTAGTCTGTTGGCAGTTTCCTTTTCTTCAGGAGATGCCTGTCTTTTTTCTTTTAAGGACTTCATGTGATTGGGTGGGGCCCACCCACATTATGGAGGCTAGTCTGCTTTATTTAAAGATTATGATTTAAATGTTAATGTCATCTAAAAATATTCATTCACAACATCTAAAATAGTGTTTACATGGCATAAACAAGTTGACACATAAAATTAACCATCAGAGCCATCAACGTAAGTTTTTGTAGACATTGGAGCCACAGTCTGCACCAATAATTCACCAGTTTCTTTCCAACTTCCCGTGCAGTAATAAAGATTATAGTGGTGGGATTTACCAGTTGAATGCATTCTCTCTCTACCCATCTAAGTCCCTTAACTTCTCAACATGTCTTTCTCCCCAGTCCTTCCACCTGTATTAATCTACTGGGATGGGCCCCTTGTCTCAATGAGGAGCCACTAATAGGTGCACACCTGAAAGATTTTTTTCTTATTTCACAGTCAGATGACCCAGTGCACCATCCTATGTTGGCGTCTCTTGAAGAAGCTGACTATCCTGCACTCTTGTGTCTCCAAGTCTCTTACTCTCAGAATTACCATAATGTTCTGATTTATTATTTTTAGTATCCCATATTCTTTGATCTACATCATCTACAGACATAGGGTAAATAAGTAATGTAGAAGCCTTGCAAGTCAATATTGTCACAATTATTCCTCTGCCTAGATTGCCCCAGTACCCCCTAAAACCCCAACATTAAAGGGACTGCGACCATTGTTGTACATTCTATAGCTGCAGGCTTGCTTATTCATTGTACCATCCCTGCAGCACCCCTATCCTATCCTATAGGTAAAAGGTCCAAATGGATGTGGGTAACTATTACGAGACATAAAGGATATAAATGATATAATATGTGTATGTTCCCCTGTGGTTCCCAACCCAAATGTTATCCTGGCTTGTCTACCTCCAAATTCAACACAGCAGTAGATCTCTGTTCAACCTTCTATAGTTTTCTCTTATCCTGAGTCACACTGTCTTTTTGCTTTCACGCAGAATAAACAACGATACACTTAAACTGTGATGCCTCAAGGCTTCACCGAAACCCTCTCATGTTAACCCAAAGTTCTCCACTATAATATCCAAGCTTCACAATTTCCTCATTCTTTTACCTTGATCCAATATGTGTATGACTTGCTCTTATGTTCACCTGGTCCAACTTCTTATCAGGAGGACTCTCTTTACCTCTTGGAAAATTTGGCTATAAAAGGACATAAAGATTCGGAAAACAAATTACTATTTTTTAAGGTCCAAATTCGTTATCTACCACAGGAAGGTAAATTCTTCTTACTATGTCAAAGAATTATAATTTCTTCAATCACCAGACATAGTTACAGCCACTTTATATTTCTCTTATCTTATCACCAAAAAACAATTTAGAAATTGGCTGCCAGAATGGTAAAGCAAGGAACATGGTAGACTCTCCCCCCAAAACAACCTTAACTGGAGAAAATTACAAACAAAAAATCTCCAATCATTAGAAATCTCTGGCAGTTATCCTAAGGATACAACAAATGGAGAAACATTCATTCAAGAAAATACACTAAATTTAAGTAAGAACAGTGACGGTCTGTGGCTACACTTGAGCCACAGGCTGCTCCCTCCTTCCCTCCTAGCTATGTATTGTGGGAACTAATCTAGGCATACTATTCCTGGTAGATGTGGCCAAGAAGATGAGGGCTCCCTCTCACCCAAGCTCCCAGACTAGACCTGTGCTTTCACCCCAGGATGGACAAGCCATTGGCATTTATCATCTTTCCCAACTCTGTGTTGCAGAAGCTCTGTTCCTGATAGGCTTTGCCAAGAGGACTGAGTGCTCTTCCTCCACCTACTCGTACGGTAGAATATCTACTCCAGGTGGAGCAGACTGAGAGTACAGTTCAGTCAGTTCCACTCAAAAGTTTAGGTAGGGTGGAGGTTTCATGCCAAGAGGGGCAAGCCAAGAAAATGGAGGCTACTACTGCCTCAGTGCCCACTCGTAGAACAGAACTGTCAATCTTGGACATTGTCACTCCACCTCCTGTGCAGAAGAAGTTCTGTGCCAGGAAAGAGGCAGGCCATAAGTATGAAGAACTCTGTAGATATGCCTAAGGGGACTAACTTAATTTGGAACAGAGTATGGAGAATTCTGTAGCTAAGGATGTTGCTAAAAACAGTGGAGATCATGTTGTAGAGCAACTAAGAGAGCGCTTATAGCTCCATCATACTAGTAGCAACAAATGAAACGGCAGAGCAATAAGTTTAACAGAGAGAATTAGAGAAAGGAAAGCCAAGAGGACCTGTCTGGGATCATAGCCAAGCCTGGAGTCAGGAAGGCTATACATAAGCACTATGCTCTACCCACTTAGAAGCAATTAGAATAGATATAGGAAGCTTTGGAAGCATTTCCAAGACCTCACACAGATCCATGAACCAATAGTGCAAATCTCACTGACCAAACACTGGCTGAATAATCTATTCTGATATAGGAGCAACAACAAGGGAGCAAGGCTTAAGAGTAAAATTACAAGTATTTCTATCAGCTAAAAGACTGCATGGTCAAGACTGTGTTCTCTTAGGAGTGACTGCAAAGACTAAATCCAAGCTAATAGTGCTAATAATTGAATGTGAAGCAAAAATGTAAGCTCTGTGAACAATGATAGCAGCCACCAGGCCAAACATACGTCTAATGGCAAAGTGTAAAAATCCAACTGGGAAAGAGGACTTAAACACCATCTTTAATCAGTAAGTGGCTTATGCTGGCCCAGGGATGAACCCTACATAGTCAGGTTAAAAGATGAAAAACAAGAAAAAAAATACACGCAGGGACATCGGAGGCCAAATACTGTAGGGAAATAGATTTCACAGCATTCGTTCAGTAAAGTCATTAAAAATAAATAAATAAATGACAAATCAACAGCAATAATCCCAGGGTGGGAGGAGATCCATATGTCGAAGTAATACAATATCTAAATATTTAGATAAACATTTTAGATAAATATATGACTTAATGTAAAATTTCCAGTTTCAACAACAGTAAAAAAATGACCCATGCAATGCAAACAGCAAGCAAAAACAAGTGGAATGGCAATACTAATATTAGGCAAAATTAACTTTTAAAATGTTGTTAAAGAGAGATATGTCGTAATGATAAAATATACAATCTATTGGAATGGCGTAAGAATTGTAAAATATATGTGCATTTAAGAATAGAGCCCGAAATACCTGGAGCAAAAACTGTCAGAATTGAAGGGAGAAATAGATAGTCCAACAATAGAAAGAGATTCCAATACCTCAGTTAAAATAACAGATAGAACAACTAAGCAAAATATTAACAAGAACATAGAACATTTGAGCAACACCATAAACCAGTTAAATCTAACAGGCATGTATAAAACACTACCAAACAGTAGCAGTAGTTCTCTCAAGTCCACATCGGACATTCTCCAACATAGACCATATTTTAGGCCCAAATCATCCTCAATAAATTTAAAAGGATTGAAATAAAAAATATTTCCTCCAACCACAATGGGATGAGATTCTAAATTAATAACAGAAAGAAAATAGGGAAATTCACAAATATGTGGCAACTAACAGCATACTCTGAAAAAAACCAAGAGGTCAAAGAAGAAATAACAAGAAAAATAGAAAATACCTTGACATGAATGAAAATGAAAACAAACATTCCAAGAGTTAAGGGATACAGGTAAAGCAGTCTTCAGAAAGAAATTTATAGCTGTAAATGCCTATATTAAAAAAGAAAAAGATATTAAATAATTAAACAAATTTTTGCCTAAGGAACTAGAAAAAAAGAGCAAAGTAAATTTAAAGCAAACAGATGGAATGAAATAATAAAGAAACCAATGGAAATAAATGGAACAGAGAACAGAACAAAGAATAGAGGGAATCAGTGAAACCAAAAGTTTCTTCTTTGAAAAAAATCAACCAAATTGACAAGCTGTAAGATAGACTGACCAACCAAAAAGTGAGACAACTCATGAAGTCAGAATGAAAGAGGAGTCATTACTACTGACTTTGCAGAAATTAAAAAGAATTGTATGAATATAATGAACAATGTATGGCATCAAGTTAGCTAACTTAGATCAAATTGTCCGATTTTAGAAAAAAATCAAAATATGAAAACTAACTCAAGAAGAAATAGAAAATATGAATATACCTATAATAAGAGAATGAATTAGTAATTTTAAAACTCCCCATGATGAATATTATGTGCTGAGATGCTGAGCACATCAGCATCTGATAAAATGATGATTTTACTGGTGAAACCTACCAAATACTGAAGGAAGAATAGTAACAAAACTTCACAAACTGTTCCAAAAGTAGAAGAGGGAACACTTCCAAACTTTTTCTATGATGCCAACCAAGTATTACCCTGTTACCCAAACCAGACAGAGACATTACAGGAAAAGAAAAGCAAATACAAATAGCAGTTATGAATATAGACACAAAAATCTTTAACAAAAGTGTATCCAATCATGTTGTCTTAGTTTCTTTGGGCTGCTATAACAGAGTACCGTAGACTGGGTGTCTTAAACAACAAACAATTAGTTTTCACATATTCAGAGGCTGGGAAGTTCAAAGTGCCAGCAGATTCAGCATCTGTTGATGATGGCTTCCTGGTTCTTATACGATCTTCTTGATATGTCCTCACATGATGGAAGGGGTTAGGGAGCTCTTGGGGTCTTTTATAAAGGCACTAATTCCATTCACAAGGGCTCCATCCTAATGACCTACTTACTTCCCAAAAGCCCCACCTTCAAATACTATCACACTGGGGATTAGGATTCAACATATGGGTTTGGTGGGGAGTTCACAGACATTCAGCACACATCTAATCAGATCCAGCATCACTTTCTGGTCAAAACAGATGATCCTAGCACACTGAGAACAAACTGCTCTTCCAACCCACTATGGGGACCTTCTAGATTCAATTCCTGACTCTTACATATCCCTGTCATTTAGTTTTTTTCCTCTGAAAAGATTTGGCGGGTAATGGAAGCAGTTTCTTTTGCATAAGAGGAAGAACTGAAAAATAATTACAATACGCCCCAGTTTTCATTGCTTCAACTCTTGCTTCCTCTACCTTTTTTTCCTCTCCTTTTACCTATCCCATCTTTTGTATTACCTCTCCTGACTTCCAAAACTCGACAACAAATACAAAAGCAGCGCTCAAAGAACTCTTCTGATACTTGCTGAAATGAGATTGCACCAAGGATATAAGCAAGAGACATGAAAAAGTGGAACAATTTCCCACCATCCCAACCACATGTTTGTAGCAGTTAAAAAAAACAGAGTGCACAGTCATCACTTCTCTTCTCCTTTTGCTTGTAAAAAGTCTAGTTCTACTTTTAGAGACGGTCCTTGTCTTAAGGTGATGCATATCAGCTAGATAAAGACTGTAACCTCTATTTAAATTGCTTTCACTATATTTTTTTCTTGACAATTCTACCACTTATTTGACACCAATTTTCTAACAGCCGAAGCAAAGAGTTCTATGGGGTCACATGCATGAACTACAGTCACCATGAGGTCAAAACAAACCATTTTCTCAGGGCAAGCCCAAGTGTTCCTGGTAATGAAATTCAAGGGAAATCTGTGCCTTAGTCATCGTAGGGTTCATATTATACAGAGATTTTTAGCAGTGATCTAAGTACCCATTTGCTTCATGAGCTGTTAAGTGGGGATAATTACACTAACCTACCCGATAAGGTTTCTGTCATGAATGAGGCTACAGTGCATACAAAGGACTCAGCACAGAGCCTGGCACATAGTAGTACTGCTCCATAACTCTCAGCCACACGATGTCTTTGTAAAAGATGAGAGCCCAGCTCTGGAATCGTAATTTTGGGGAGGTAAAGAATTTCCCTGCATCCTTACAATGCACACAAACGTGTGTGTGCCAAAATAATGCAACCTAATATGCTGTTGGGAAACAAACATAGGAAAAACTGTGATGTACTTTTTGGAAAAAATATATGATGAAAAATTCATTATACTGAAAAAAAGGGCTCAAATTTCTATAGTTTGCTTTTTAGCGATGCTGCAGCACATGCACTACTTATATATTGTTTGTTGGGATGCGGGCTAGTCTAATTGAAGAAGCAAAAATATATTTGGTAAGACAAGAAGTTTCTCTTTCAAATGATCTTTAGATTAAATCAAGGTTGGTATAGTAGCTTGACAGTGTTGGGCACCTAAGGT